GAGTGATGTTCAAAATTCAAACATACACAACTTCTAAATAAAATATTCAATATTTTCAGAATAAACATTTGGTACAATTTCATAATAATATCCGATGTTGTTTTATACTTGACCCATATTTTATTGCAAGAGAACAAGAAGGTTATAAATAAATATTTATAATTTCAAACGATTCAATAGGAATAAAAATGAACCAACAGTGATAGAGGGTTATTTACCTCAAACAGTTAAAATAATATTTCACCACACTAACTCCAAACACCCAACTCCACCACTTCAATCACACAAACCTAATAATAGAACCTCAAATAAATTAATATTTTTATGTCTTTCACACATCAACAAGAACCCACTACATATATGTAGTGCTTTAAATCCAAGAGACACCAAATCAATCCACCCAATTTAATAGCCAAACACACCTTACCCAATGTACAAAACTCAAATGTCAAACCACACCCGCACAAACTGTTCCATTGTTTCTACTCTTTACCCAGCCTCCACTCCACATGTCGCACCACTCACCAAGCTCACAATACCAAGTAGGCACATACAAGTTTACACAAAGCTTCAACCGTTTTTTTATTTATCAATAGAAAATTAATAACTAGTGATACAAGAAGGATCTTACCTCAGTCAATGGGTGTATCAAAATATTCCCAATGTACTGCCCTCAATTCCTATCGCAGCCTCCATTGAACCCTTTGTAAAATTATCATACAACATAATGTGAAAACCCTCTCTTTTTATTTTTATTTTATTTTTTTTAAGGAAGCAGCTTGTCTCCAGTCCGAAATCGGATTGGATGGTGTTGTTCGGCCTGTGGAGGCCTATCACGGGTTTCATTTTGATAATTCAAACTGTTCAATGTGTAGAACTCGTCGAGTATAATATGCCTATAAAAAATCACGTTGATCGGATATCGAAAGCTATTTCATTAAATCAGTTTTTTGTCAACCGTTAATTTGTTCACCGTGCATTTTTTTTAATACAAAACTGATTTGATCACATAGTTATCGATATCTGATCAATGTGATTTTTAACAAACATATAGTATTCGACAAGTTCTATGCATTGAACGGCTCAAATTATCAAAACGGGACCGTGGTGGTCCCCCACAGGCCAAACAACACCGTCTAGTCCGATCTCGGACTGGAGGGAAGCTGCTCCCTTTTTTAAAAGGGTTGACGACCTAATTCTTAAAATTACTAAATTATCCATACAATTTATTTTAATTATTAATCTATCTAAAAATAATTTTATACATAACTTGGGTTTTACCGAATTAGTGTGTGAAAATAGAATTACCCAGAATTGATTAAAAAGTCCTATTAGAAGATGAGTGTACCAATAAGTCCTCTTGATTTTTTGGTGCATTAAAAAATCATGTTCACTTTTAATTATTACCACAAAATCTTATTTTTTATTATTTTTAGCGGCATTTTCATCAAAAGTGTCACTAATTAGTTTTTAGCAATGATTTGAAAAATTCGTCACAAAAAGTTATTAATTATAATTTGTTAGCAACAGATTTAGAAAATTGTCATAGAAAAACGTCACTAATTGTCTTTTTTTTTTGTGATAGATTTAAAAAATCATCATTAATTGTAAGTTTTAATAACATATTTATAAAATCGTCACAAAAAATCTTTAAATCCAATTATTAGGACTTTTTGATCTATACAAATACTTGTGAGAAATAATAGTGTACATCTCTTTATAACAGGACCAGTGAGTAGTTGGCCTAAAATCATCTAATTGAGGCCTTTTATGATTTTTTATTATAATTGAGGTCTTTACAATATCCAAGAATTGGTTAAAGTGTAGGAACAAATTATTTAATTTAAAATTATAAAAGTTAAAATAAAATTTAAACCAAACGACATAAATGAAAAAATGTAATTAATTCTAATTTTTATTTTGGCAAAGGTGTCAACAACGAGTGAAATAGCGCATCATACATCTTTTTGAAGGTGCAAATAGTATTTTACAAAAAATTGTAAAAGTAAATTTTAATGTTATGTCTGTGAAGTGGAGTGGACCATAGAAATTGTAGAGTTGGAAAAAATCTTGGCATGACTTTATAACGTTTTGGGTTACATGGTGCATGTCATTTTCTCTTTTGATTATACGGTAGTCGTCACTGGATTAGGTTAAAGTGGAGACGTAGAAAAAATTGATAGAATAGAACTAATTGTTCAAAGGATTGAAATTTTGATTTTTGATTTATTTTTTAAAACGTGTAATTTGTTTCTGTTTTAAAAAAAATTATTTTAATAAATATTTAACTACCCAAAATATTATGTTTAAATACTTTTATATTTCAAATTATTTATATATTAGAAGATAAGCGACTGATACTATTAAAAATTAGGCATTTATAGGACAACTTTTATTTTTTTTATTCATTTATTTTCAACCTGAAAATTTTACAAGTTTTTATAAAACTTTTTAAAATTTCATGTTAATCATTTCTCTACACCAAATTGACGAAACCAGATTTGATTTAGTGTTAAATTTTTAAGAAAATTTATTTTATCCCCAAACTATGACTACTCAAAAATTAATTCAATTCACATTCTTTTAATAAGATCAATTTTATATTTAAACTATTCATTTTGTTATCAAATTTATCTCTGCCTTTAATTACTGTCTATAATTAAATAGAAGTTGTTGACCGAGTATCAACATTTCAATTAAAATTTCATTTTACCTCTCAAACGATTTCCAAAATATCAATTAGACTCTTAAATATATTTAAAAAAAATTAATATTATTAAAAAAATAAATTGATTCTTTAATGATAATTAGAGAGGCAAAATAAAATTTTAATTTTTTTCTTAATGATCATAAGGTAAACTGCTTGTAGTTCAAAGTTTAGATTTCAGATAGATTTAATTCAAATATTAAAGTGATATTGAAATGCCAAGATGTAATATATTTTGTGAATGAGTAGTGCTACTTTACTCCAAAAGTTATATCCACTTTTAAACTCAATAATGTAATAGTCTATTAGAATATATATATCTAAGACCACTCTCTCAATCTCACTCATATTTTTTTTAATCATCAATTAATCATATATTTCACACATCACTAGGTCTAAAAAATAAACTTTGATATCATTTTGATAAATTTCTTTCTCAAGACTCATGTAATTTTTCAATTTATTTAGAACTTCTAAGTTAGATCAAGATGGTGTTACAGACAATTCACATGTACTAATATTATACCAGAAGCCTATTTTTAGAAGTGAAAATATTTTATATTACGAGTACATCACATGATGACTGAAATGATGTACTTCCACTCACTAACTGATATTTAGGCTTGGTTTGGGTACACTAAATAATACAAAAAGTTAAAAAGTCACTATCCTATTTAAGTCACATAATCTTATTTAAATCACATCACCTCTCTAACACATCACATCAAACCCAACCCAAACCCAACTCATATAAGCCAATAAGTCAAAAAGTGCACTTTTTTAGAACATTCCAAACCAACCCTTAGTAAATGGTGAAATAGATATATGATGTGCCCGAACAATTGATTTTTTAAATTTCATTTTAATCACATGTCAATTAAAAAGTAAAATGGCAACACCATGTCATCTCATCCATGCGATGTACCCATTACATAAAATATTAGCTCCGATCAATTTATTAATAATTAATTTAGTTGATGCCTTAGGGTCTTTAATGAAAGATTCTTGCTGTTAAGTTCATGGGTCTTACAATAATCATCTTTTTTTTTTTTATCACATTTTAAATATTGGCACAATTACAATTATAAATTCAATGGATTCCACATAATCTTCATTTATATTCGTTGGTCATAACTGAAACGCATGGTATTTGAAATAATATTATTCATTTGTAATAATATTATATATTTTTGTGATAATATTATTCTTTTAATCGTATTGAAATATTTTTGAATCACAAATTATCAAAATCCTATCATAAGAATACCTTACATTTGTCACAAAAAATACGAAACAAAATATATATGATACACACTAAAGGATATATAATCATCCAACAGTAAATGTAAATATTTTTTTAATTTAAAATAATTATAAATTTAAATTCAATTTTATAAAAATTAGATACATAATAAAAATTTTCTATTACGTGTAACGGAGGGTTCGATCTTTTTTCTCATTTTATTATTAGTCAACAAAATGTGTGCGCGTTTTTTGAAGTAACAAAAGCAGCGGGGAACATAAACATCTCTAAGGACTCTTGGAATAATCGGTAGTACTATATGTACTAATTAGTGTATTAATTAGTATACCAATATTAGTTATGACATTATTATTGACCCCACACTACAAGAAAAGTGGGCAAATAACACGGAACTTTTTGCGACGGCGTGTATACCGTCGCAAAAAGTGGTCTTTTGCGACGGCATATGAAGCTGTCTCAAATAATGTTTTCTGCAACGGCAGTTTCCCGTCGCTAATAAGCACAGAACAAAAAGTCACTTAGATATGGAAATATTAGCGACGACACTGTGTTCCGTCGCAAAAAATATTTTTTTGAGGCGGGTGAAATTTACTGTCGAAATAGTGGACATTTGTAACGGGAATGCTCTGTCGCAAAAAAAAAAAAAAAACCCTTAATAAAACGGCGTCGTTTTATAAATGGATTTGATCATTTGTGACGGTTTTGCCATGCCGTCGCAAATAGCCTGAAATTTCATCTCCCTCCTTCAGCCAAAATGGCACTCGATCAAATTCCCTAAAATCCCTAAAATCCCCAAAATCCCTAACACCTTTCTCCCTCAAAACCCCCAAAATCCCTAACACCATTCTCCCTCAAAACCCCCCAAATCCCTAAATCCCCAAAATCCCAAAATCCCCAGAGACGAGTTCAACGACGATCTCTCTCCGTCTCTGGATGAGCGACGACGGTGACGGCTAGCAGTGTTCGAGTTCACCGACGATCACAGCGACGACGGCGAGTGTTCACCGACCATATCTCTCTCGACGAGCGATGACGGCTAGCGGTGGTGCGGCAATGGCGTGTTGCGATCTCTCTCTCTGAGCTCAGTCCGTACGTATGCTCTCTCTCTCTCTCTCTCTCTTTCGGAAGCCCACAATAATTTATTTTGGTCACTCATCTTGTATAGAGATTAGGTGTGTTTCTCTCATTGCTATGATTCAAAACTGTAATATCTGATTACTCCATTTTTTGTTCTATATAAGTAATATCTGATTTTGATGTCTTTAGGTGCTTAGTGAGAAAGTCCCTTCTGAACTGGAGAGGACTGATTGTTGGAGGGTATTCTATCAAGGTGCTGCATTTCCTACTCTTCAGATCTTATCTCCAGTGTAAGATCTATTTAATAGCTATTAGAGTTGGTTTTGTGCTAATTCAGGTTAATCTGTATTCGGGTTCCTATTTGCAGTGGTTCAGTTTTCCTTGCTGCTCATCTCTATCATGAATTGTGTGGAAGAATGATTTCAAAGGGACAACTAATTGAGGTAACTCCCAGCATAATTGAATTATTTTCTGACACGAGGCATTTATTCTTTAGATCCTTGGCGAGTGAGAGGTCTGGGTTCCGGGTTTCCAAACCAAACAAGAAGTCTTTTAGGAGGTCATAGATCCTAGAATCATGAAAAAGAAGGGGCATTTAGATGTTTTTTGGCTTATCATATGAAACATACCTAGAAATTGGCAGATAGTTTGGGCTTTTGCTTGTTTTTTTTAACCATTATAAGGCACTATTTTTTGGTTAATTAATGCTTGTGTGGTATGTTTCTTTCCTCCTTGTTTATTGCATGTTTCTTAATTCCCATTTTGGTGTAATTTAAATGGCATGAATGAAAATGAGATCTAGACATGTAGTTACATATCTAGAACAGAGTCTATTGCAAAAATGAGAAATTTGGCTTAGACTGGTGTTGGATTAGTGTACGTTGTATCCCGCATATCCCATTGCTTGGATATGTGTGGGTATCTCTCTAAATTTATATTTCCTCCATTTAATCACTATCCTGTCTCCTCTTTGTCGTGAGTGACTCTTTATGCTGTTTAAAATGTAGATGAATTTTGTGCGGTGTTGTTTTTGCTTTCATACCATTTGTACGAGAAGTTTTAATTTTATAATAGCCTTCTGTGTAGCTCTGCACTGCCCCTTGAGTTGCTTTATACATTTGAAGAAAGAAATACAATAACTTGAATAGAGAGCTGGGAATATCAGCTGAGTAACACTATTACCTGTCATTGCCGATACTCTTACTGGTAGAATTTCCTTTGGTCCGTTCTGGTTATCCAACTATTTTTTTTATATTATAATTTGATTTAAAAATAAATTGAATTTGTGTGCTGTATGTCACACGGCTTCCATTAGAAACATTTGATTTTTTGGTTGTTGTAACTTAACCTTTTCTAATGAGTTTTTTCAACTCTGTAGGCTTTTTCATATGCAAAAGAAGCCCATTGTTTACATAGAAAACTCTTGCAAGAAAAATTTAGATGCTCTGTAGAGCAGCAGAGTGAAATTTATGATGAAAATGGGGAAATCATTCAGAAGCGTTGTTACAATCTTAGTACTTTTGAAATATATAGTTTAGTGGCTACAACGGTTTGGTCTCGTGATACTATTTTGTGTGACTTGGAAGGCTGTATTCTTACTCCATGGAAAGTGTTATCTTGAAAGCACTTTACAGGTTTGATTTGTTTATCCCTATAATATTTTTGCCCAGAAGTTGAATCTGGTTTTGGTGTGTTTTACCGCTATTATTTAAGTACTGTGGTTAAAGCAAGTTGGAATTATCCATGAATTAATTGGAAATGGATCTGAGGCTGAAACTCTTCTATGGTGGTAGAAAAACATCTCTGGTTTCCAAGGGTTGCGTCTTTTCAAAGTTGCATTTTCTTATATCTTAGGTATACAAGTAAACTTTTCCTTTATTTACTTATCAAGAAAGAAGAAAAAAAACCTTTCCTTCTCTCTTGTGCGAAAGTCCCTTCCAGTAAGTCTCCATTCTACAAATCCAAATCTTTCAATTCTTTTTTTCTTAATGCGACAATTTCAGAATGATTGTGTTGTCTTTGACGAAAGGGCAAAAGATAATGATCACAATTTACCCACCATGACATTTATCACTCGTGATTATCGCTTCTTTACACCAAGCCTTGTACACCATTTTTCTATTGATTTGTTCTTGTCTAAATTTTATTTGACAAAAAATGTAATGACATGACACCAAATAGGGTACAATTCTTGTGCTTGTGAAACTACTTGGATTTGCATATGTTGCTATATTTTCATATTACTTTTATAGTCAAGTCAAGTCAGCCGCTAAACTCGCTTTGAGGTTTTATATGATTTATTAGACTTTGGGCAATCCTTTTGCTACTACTAAATTTATTTGACTGAAAGATCATGTGCATTAGTACTTGCCACATATTGACATGGTGATATTTTTGTTTGTATTTGTTTTAAAAAATTTCTGAAAACTGCATTATGTTGTAAGCAATGGGTGTAGCCATGTTTCAACATGCTTTAAGGAGTTCATATGATATTTCTTCCATGATAATTCTCTAAATTTTTCTCCCACGGTGCAGAAAAAGTATCAAATTGGGCAAATGTTGTTTTAGCTTATGAGCCTGTTTGGGCCATTGGAACTGGAAAGGTTGCAAGCCCTGCCCAAGCTCAGGAGGTAAGTAGGTTGTTGCTGTTTTAATTTAATCATCTCTGTTTTCAGTACAAACATGATGTTAATTGCTTCAGTCAACTTTATCTAATGTATTTCTAATGATAAAATTGGTATTTCTTAGGAGATTTAACATGGGCATTCATGTTTTCTTGTTTCAAAAATAAGAATAAAAATCAACTTTATATTATTCACGTAGAATCCAAAAGGATATTTTGAGCTATTAGAGAATGAGATTCTTGTGAGATGAGATAAGAATTTTTTTTCTTCATTCTTTTATTATTATATTCGTTATGAGTTATTCATTGCATAAAGATTCAAGTTGGTCATCACCCCGACTAGTTGAAAGATTGGATATCATAGAATTGGCTTAGCATTAGATTTTGATCTAGGTTTACCTCAACTGTCAACACGGAGAAAGTTGGTGACATAACTTAACATGTTGTGTTGTGTCCAAAATGTCTACACATCTTTATGACAAAACAGTCACCGTGTTACAAAGTCCGTTATCTTATTGCAACTTGACATCTAGTTGCCGTGAGTTTTACCATTTGTAACTTCTATCCTACTAAGTTTATTTCTCTATCTGACAGGTGCATGCTGAATTGAGGAAATGGCTTCAAGCGAACACCAGCCCTAAAGTTGCTGCTACAACCCGGATTATCTATGGAGGTATCTATTGATATATATATATATATATATATATATGACCCCGTACCCTTATTCAGGCCAAAAATCTGGGCAACTAGTTTTGGTTTCTAAACTCAACCAACCTGTAACAAATCCGCCCAACACATCCTATAACTCAAATACGAAGTAAAAAGGATGCAAACAAGATAATAAACAACTACCAACATCCACGGACACATGTCCGGATCACTGTACAACAAGGGTAAACTCGGGATCGCTATAAAAATCAACTTTATATTATTCACGTAGAATCCAAAAGGATATTCTGAGCTATTAGAGAATGAGATTCTTCTGAGATGAGATAAGAATTTTTTTTCTTCATTCTTTTATTATTATATTCGTTATGAGTTTTTCATTGCATAAAGATTCAAGTTGGTCATCACCCCGACCAGTTGAAAGATTGGATATCATAGAATTGGCTTAGCATTAGATTTTGATCTAGGTTTACCTCAACTGGCAACACGGAGAAAGTTGGTGACATAACTTAACATGTTGTGTTGTGTTCAAAATGTCTACACATCTTTATGACAAAACAGTCACTGTGTTACAAAGTCCGTTATCTTATTGCAACTTGACATCTAGTTGCCGTGAGTTTTACCATTTGTAACTTCTATCCTACTAAGTTTATTTCTCTATCTGACAGGTGCATGCTGAATTGAGGAAATGGCTTCAAGCGAACACCAGCCCTAAAGTTGCTGCTACAACCCGGATTATCTATGGAGGTATCTATTGATATATATATATATATATATATATATGACCCCGTACCCTTATTCAAATCATTGGGCTATTCAATTATTTTTTTGCAAATCTACTTGATAATGTTTGAGCAATCACCTCCTGTTGCGATCTTGAACTTGTTCAAACTTCAAAGTACTGAACAAATTTATAGCGATTCTGGTTTTTCCTCTCTTTATTTATTGTGTTCTGGACCCAGTTCCGTGGATGTATTGTTGTCTCATTCTCATTTCCATCATTTACTCTTTGTATTTGAGTCTTGGGTTGTATTGGGCAGGTTTGAAACATGTCGGTTGTGCTTTGAAACCAAAGGTTGATGCCCATAATTTGGCCTTCACGCTCGAGTGGGGCTTTTGACGCTTGAGTGGGCCCTTTGTTGTTGTTTCTCCGCTCGAGCGTGAGTTTTGACACTCGAGCGTGAATTTTCATCTCCCAGTATTTTTGTCTACAGGTCTTCGTACGCTCGAGCGGGAGTTCTGACGCTCGAGCGTGAACCTTCGATTTTGTTCCTCCGCTCGAGCAGGGAGTTTGACGCTCGAGCAGGGACCATCGCTTGCAAAACTTCTGGAAGTGTGCAATCGACGCTCGAGCGGCGCTTTTGACGCTCGAGCATGAGTTTGTGTCTAACTCTCGAGCGGGGGTTTCCACGCTCGAGCGGGGCGACTTTTATATTAGTCCAAGTTTCACCTTTTTGGATCACCTTTTGATTTCCTTTCTCTCTCTTACTTTTTGAAAACCACCATTGGAGAGCACCTCACTCTAAAACTCTACATTCTCTCTAGGATTTGATCTAGTTAGAGTGATCTCCTACCCTTGAGCCTTTACAAAAAGTTTAGAGCTTGGTGTGGGCTTCCTATCAATCCGAAAATTTCTTGATTTGGAGCACTTCGAGATTTCTTCATCATCTCCTTTGGGTTTCATCTCTTGAGGTAGGGATAACTACTCATTTCTATGATCCTTGACATAAACTATTGGTCATTTTGATGTAATGTTGAGTTTGGGTGATTTGGGTGTTAGGGTTTCGAAATGTGTAAAAGAGGGGTTTTGTATTTTGAGCCTATATATACATGTGTATTTGAGTCTAGAGATGAGATCATTGGTATTGTTGATAATATTTGGACCTTTGGGTCAATATTGAGCTTAAGGGAAAAATGCCATGTTTGGATATATTTGGGTCATTAGTGTAATTAATGACATTTGTTATGAAATTATGAAATTGAGTTGGGAATATCCGAAAATTTCTTGATTTGGAGCACTTCGAGATTTCTTCATCATCTCCTTTGGGTTTCATCTCTTGAGGTAGGGATAACTACTCATTTCTATGGTCCTTGACATAAACTATTGGTCATTTTGATGTAATGTTGAGTTTGGGTGATTTGGGTGTTAGGATTTCGAAATGTATAAAAGAGGGGTTTTGTATTTTGAGCCTATACATGTGTATTTGAGTCTAGAGATGAGATCATTGGTGGTGTTGATAATATTTGGACCTTTGGGTCAATATTGAGCTTAAGGGAAAAATGCCATGTTTGGATATATCTGGGTCATTAGTGTAATTAATGACATTTGTTATGAAATTATGAAATTGAGTTGGGAATAATGAAATCGGCTCATTATGAGATAGAATGGTGGAGTTGGATTTATTAGTCGCTCATTTTTAAAAATGTCAATTATATATCTGTTGAGGCATTTATTATCTGTTTAGAAATAACTGCTTTGGGCTATCGGTGGATGATAGTCTTGATTGTTGTAGACACTGAATGATGATTAGGTGAATTAAAACTAATCAAGTTGTGTATTTGAATACATGGGTGCCGAATCCCGCGGATGAAATTTTCGTAAAATGGCCATTTGAAAATAATTACACATGTGTGCCGAATCCCACAGACGCAATATCCGTAAAATGACAATTCGAATATAATTATACATGGGTGCCGAATCCCGCGGACGCAATTTCCGTAAAATGGCAATCCGAAAACATCTATACATGGGTGCCGAATCTCACGGATAAAATTTCCGTAAAATGGCCATGAGAAAATAATCACATATGGGTGTCGAATCCCACAGACGTAATTTCCGTAAGATGGTAAGTTTGAAGTATTGTTGACTTGAGATGTAATCTCGCTTAAGTTGTTTGGCCAGGTTCTGAGCCGTGTTTATAAATTGAGTTTTGTTAAGTGAAGGATTATGGAACAGGATTGTACTGCATGTTAGTATACATATGGGTTAAACATTTATCAAGTGCTAATGTTTTAGTTATTGCTCATGTTATGTTTAGCATATCTCTACTGGGCGTTGGCTCACCCTATATGGGACATCATTTCCGGTACAGGTAGCATGCCACCTCCAAGGACGTAGCTTGAGAGGCTTAGTGGCTGGGACATCTTTTGTGGTTACATTTTTGTATTACATGTGTATCAAGCCAAGGGCTTATTATCTGTTTGAGTTAGTACTCACTCTTTTTGTAACCAAGTGTTGGCTTGGAAAGTTGTAAGCCCGTAGGCCATTTACTTTTGTTGTCAACATGTAATACATTTTGTAATGAATACTCTGATGAAATGTAATTCTGCTTTATTCTCTTATGTCAAGAATATATGATTGATGGGTTTATTTTGAGGGTGTTACAAAATTTACCCCAATCCCATCCTGGCTGATTGCTTTTTCTTTGTCATGAGCTTTGGGGGGAAGATAAGGATATTTAATCACAATAATGTTATGCTGTCTTGGATCTCCATTAGAGTAAGCATCAAAATTTGAGTTTTGGAATATATGGATTTCAAATGAAAGGATTTGAAATTAAAACTTCATAAAAATGTAAGGAAGTTGGTCATTATAGGTAGATTGAGAAATTAAATGAGAAGATAGACTAGAGTAGGAAGATACCCAATATTTTATTATAATCTTTGTACAACTATAATCCTTAAGCATGAAAGATTTCAAATTACTACTGTTTCATTATTATTACGAATCCATCACGGTAAAACTCCTAAATTCTATATAGAAATCCATATGTAGACCTTAAGCTCTAAAATTTTTAGATATTATCCTTGAATGATTAGTGCCCAAATCCTCCTTGAGATCTAAACGCAACAACCTCTCTAATTATCAGGTATTGAAGAAATGACGATGTGAACTTGTGCCTTGGGCTGCCTACATTTTAAAAAAAAAATTATCTATTTGCCTAAAATCTAATTTCTGCAAAAATTAAATTTCTGACTCAGTTCTACATGCACGCTTGTGTTGACCATTGTATACATGATCAATACTTCTGGACACCATTTTTTCATAGGCAGGGTGCCAACATGACCCAAATCAAATGACTAGTAGTCTAGTGAAGTTCAATTTTTTTCTTTCCCTTTTGTGCTCTAAATGCATTGCTATTACAGGTTCAGTCAGTGGTGCTAACTGCAAAGAATTGGAAGCAAAACCAGATGTTGATGGTTTTCTGGTTGGTGGAGCTTCTCTTAAGGTATTGATATTATCGCTCTATTTTTTCTTTGTTTTAAAAAAAATAAATTAAATTCACTGCACTTGTTTGTTTTTCCTCACACCCTCCACTTTTTCTCTCATTCTCTCTCACAGCCGGAATTCATAGACATTACCAAGGCTGTTGAGGTGAAGAAAAGTGCCTAAGTTGGTATCATCAGTTATTGGTAGGTGAGATTTGAAGTTTTTGTTAAATGAGGTTTGACGATGGATTAGTACAAAGCCTCAGAGAGAGATAAAGACTATGCCTTGTAAGCTTGGCTAAAATGTATCTTTGCATTCTTTGCATTTTAAGCTAAGAGACTTGTGGGAGAAGACGGAACTCAAATCGGGTTCCCAGATTGGGAGTTAGAGCTGGATTTTAGTTTAGGCAAACTAATTCCTTAAGAAACTTGAATTTGAGGTGTTGACGCCCCAAAATCACCAAACGGGGTCGAATTGGCACGAAACTTGGCATACATTACTGCCTAGGCACGAGAGACTTGTGGGAGAAGACGAGGCTCAAATCGGGTTCCCGATTTGTGAGTTAGAGCCGTATTTCGGTCTAGGCAAACTAGTTCCTTAAGAAACTTGAATTTGAGGTGTTGACGCCCCAAAATCACCAAACGGGGTCGGAGTGGCACGAAACTTGGCACACACGACCGCCTAGGCATGAAAGACTTGTGGGAGAAGATGGGACTCCAATTGGGTTCCCGATTTGGGAGTTAGAGCCGGATTTCGGTCTAGACAAACTAGTTCCTTAAGAAACTTGAATTCGAGGTGTTGACGCCCCAAAATCACCAAACGGCGTCGGTTTAGCATGAAACTTGGCACACATGACGGCCTAGGCACGAGAAACTTGTGACAGAAGAAGGGACTCAAATCGGGTTCCTGGATTGAGAGTTAGAGTCGGATTTCACTTTAGGCAAACTAGTTATTTAAGAAACTTGAATTCGAGGTGTTAACGCCCCAAAATCACCAAACGACGTCGGTTTAACACGAAACTTGGCACACACGACTGCCTAGGCACAAGAGACTTGTGGGAGAAGATGGGGCTCGAATCGGGTTCCCGGTTTGGGAGTTAGAGTCAGATTTCGGTCTAGGCAAACTAGTTCCTTAAGAAACTTGAATTCCAGGTGTTGACGCCCCAAAATCACCAAACAGCGTCAGTTTAGCACCAAACTTGGCACACACGACCGCCTAGGCACGAGAGACTTGTGGGAGAAGACGGGACTCTCATCGGGTTCTCGGTTTGGGAGTTAGAGCCGGATTTCGGTCTAGGCAAACTAGTTCCTTAAGAAACTTGAATTCGAGGTGTTGACCCCCCAAAATCACCAAACGACGTCGATTTAGCACGAAACTTGGCACACACGACCGCCTAGGCACGAGAGACTTATGGGAGAAGACGGGACTTCAATCGGGTTTCCGGTTTGGGAGTTGGGGCCGGATTTCTGTTTGGCCAAAATTATTTACTAAACTATCTTTGTAATTATATAGTAGTTAATTTTTTATGTTTTTTAAAAATTAAAATATTAACACAATTATATTGTCATTAATTATTTTTATTTTGTTATTTTCAGATATTTCCTGAGTAGCAGTTTGCTTCTTGTGAAATGTAGGCGTGTAAAGATTATGACCAACTTTTGTTTTTGTAACCCACGGAAGAATCATGACAAAAACTTTTATTTTTGATTTACGTTATTTAGATTTGTGAACAATATCATGTATGTATTATGCAACATTATGTAGTGGGATAATTTTGCTGATGTATTGTTATGAATGGAAGAATATTTTAATTATGGATGAATTTTTATTTATATACTGGACTCTTTATATTATTATGTAATTATCGATTTTTTTTTAGTTATTTTTCATTTAATACTGGTCATTTTCATATTTTTAATAATTTATTACATTTTTTTTTTTTTTGAGACAGCACCACACATACTGTCTCAAAAAGAAAAATAGAATTAGGGGTTTTTGCAAAGGCCATAATGCTGTCGCAAAAGATAGGGGAATTGGTTGAAAAGGAAAACCTTTAGCGACGGTGTTATTTGCCGTCGCCAATAGTACTTTAGCGACGACATCAGGTGCTGTCTCAAATAACCCTTTAGCGACGGTATTTTTGCCGTCGCAAATAACCCTTTTAGCGACGGCAAAACAGTGCCGTCTAAAAAAAACTCAGATTTTCACGCGTTAATGCCGACAGAATTTTTCCGTCGCAAAAAGGCATTTTTGCCATATCAAAAAAAAGGCGACGGCGTTATGCCGTCGCTAAAACCCTTTTGCAACCTCCTTTGTTGCGACCCCCCACTTGCCGTCACAAAAAGCCAGTTACCGTCACAAAAAACCTTTTGAGACAGGCGTTTTGGCGGCAAAAAAGTAATTTTTTTGTAGTGCCACTCATTAATCACATTACAAATACCAAAAACCTCTTAAATTATGCCACATCATTAATTAGTACACTAATTAGTATACTAATTGGCGCATAGATAATTCTTGTAAACTATTGTATACTTGGAGTCCCCAACTTCAACTCAATCTCCAATGCAAAAACACTCTATCCAGAAAAATCTGTGATGGAGAATCTGGGTCCATAGCATTTTTGTTCGTGATTTACGAGTGATTTGAAACGGTGGTGATACATGCACCAATTAGTATACTAATTAGTGTACCAATACTAGTTATGACGTTATTATTGACTACACTCATTAATCGCATTATAAATTTCAAAAATCTCTTAAATTGTGCCACATCATCAATTACTACATTAGTTAGTACACCAATTGGTATATATGGCATTATTTGATTTGAAAAAATGCATCACTTTCCTCGTGGTTCTACATTTGGTAGAAACTAAATCTGGAGTTTGCAACACCTTCTCCTCCATTGCTTTCCCAAAAGAAAACCAAAAACTAGTGAATAAGATGAAGAAACAGAGCTCTAATAATGGATAGACATAGACCACCACCAATGGGTCTGTGTTGTTGTACTATTTATTATTATGTTGTTGCTGCTACTGCTATTATCACCTTTTTCATATCCTCTGCACCTTTCAACAATGCCCAACCTCAATCTCTTGTTGCTGCTGTATTTCCAACAAATGGTGATCTATCTCTAAATCCAGTTCCTGTTGTAACAACAAATGATGACCCATCTCCAAATCCAGTCCCTGTTGTATATCCATTAAATGGTTGTCCATCTCCATCTCCACCTCTACCTTCATCTCCACCTCATTCTCCACCTCCATCTTCTGCTGTTGTTGTTGCTTCATTTGCATCTCCATCTCCTGTTGTTGTTCTTGCTCCATTTCTATCTCCATTTTCACCATCAAATTCCTCTCAAAAGAAATCAAGGCAACTCCTAATAATCATACTTGGGTCCAATCTCGGAGCTTTATCTTTTGTGGTTGCCTTTTGTTTTTACCTTTATAGAAAAAAAAAAGGAGAATCCGAGGAACTTGATGAGTTCTATGTCGATCAAGTACTAGGGATGCCTATCAAATTCTCATACAAAGACTTGAGAGCCATGACATGCAATTTCAACAATGAGCTCAGGAAAGGAGGATTTGGGTTAGTGTTTCAAGGGAAATTAAGTGATGGCACCAAAATAGTAGTAAAGCATCTCAATGGTTTTGATCATGTTAAGAAGTCATTCTTAGCAGAAGTTGAGACAATAGGCAGCATTCACCATGTCAATTTGGTAAGATAAATTGGATTTTGTGCTGAAAAATCATATCGCCTTCTAGTTTACGAGTATATATCCATTGGATCCTTGGATAGATGGATCTTCCACAGGCACCAAGACCTCACTCTTGGGTGGCAATCCAAAAAGAAGATCATCGTGGATATAGCCAAGGGACTAACCTATCTCCATGAGGAATGCAAGTAGAAAACATTTCACCTAGATATCAAACCCCAAAACATCCTCTTAATTAGATGAACAGTTCAATGCGAAAATTTCTGATTTTGGATTGTCAAGACTAATTGATAAGGACCAAAGCCAAGTTGATGAAGGGAACTCCAGGCTATTTGGCTCTTGAATGGGTGAACTCAGTTATCACTGAGAAATTAGATGTCTATAGTTTTGGTGTCGTGGTCTTGGAAATGTAGTGTGGGGGCAAATATTTGGATAGGTCTTAACTTGAGGAAGATATGCATTTATTAAGTCTATTTAAGAGGGAAGCAAAAGAGGAACAACTTCTGGATATTGTTGATAAATACAATGATGACATGCAGATACATAGAGAAGAAGTTGTGAAGATGATGAGGGTTGCTGTGTGGTGTCTACAAAGTGATTTTTCTAGGAGGCCTTCAATGTCAGTGGTGGTAAGGTCTTGGAGGGTTTTGTAGAAGTTGAGAACAATTTGGATTATAACTTCACAACACTTGTGGTATGAAGACCAATCAAAGTTGCTGGAAACCAAAGGATGCCATTGGTGCTGCTTCTAGCCTATTATTTCCATCAGTTTTATCAGGACCAAAATAAAGCAAGTAGTTTTCAACAAATAAATTACAGTTGATTGTTTGAAGTATTGAGTATTTCTTTCTCTACCTTTTTTTTTTTGGGACTAATAAGTTTTAGGATTTCAATTTATTCTAGAATTAAACATCACTATTCAAGGGAAGAAAACTATCAAAGTTGTACAGTTCTCTGTTCACACCACTAGATGTGGTTGAAATTTGTACAAGACTTATCTAAGAGTCGTATTTCTGCTTAATTTTGTGAAAGGTCTTGTCAAATTCCCTGTTCACACACCCAGGTCCTCTAAAGCCCAAATTGTTAGGACTATAAGACACCAGAAATCAATCACGCACAATAACACAGGACATTTACGTGGTTCAGCAATTGCCTACGTCCACGAAAGAGATATCCACTATAGAATTATCCCAGAGGGAGATTACAGTACTCACACATTACAACTCTCTTTATAGCACTCTCACTCACAGATTATACACTCTGTGTCTGCTCTTCAGCTCTGTGTTTTCAACCCCTCCTCACTTATCTCAATTTATACTCAAGAGAGGAGGAGTAGGTGAAGAAACAGCAATGGGTGGGCTTAGTTGGTGCCACCCTTACCAGCTACCTTTAGCACATGGTGCCACCCTCACCATGTGGATAGTAGGCTAGAGCTACCCCACCATCTTCCTTTAGCATGTGGAGTGGGCTGTTGGAGCTAACAATTCTCTCCCTCCACGCCCACTTGGATAATTGACTTCTCACTTGAAGTCCATGTCGGTCAGATTCTTACAAACTTCCAGTTTGTCTCTAGTGACACCCTTGGTCATTA